TTATTATTATTATTATTATTATTATTATTATTATTATTATTATTATTATTATTATTATTGTAAATCATTTTTGAGCTTCACCTTCACGGTAATTATTACCATGTACAGAAGTTGAGATTACATTGGATTATACAAATTATAGACATTCTTATGCGTGGATAATATTCATATAGTTTTCTCTATAGATGATTTTTAATAATACTTACATGCATATACAGGAGCCAAAACTGTCGTCGATATATTTAAAACCCAATAATCTGCATTTATCGTAACACGTTCTAGCCGGTTTTCTGCGGCGATGACCTGCACAAGAAATTCAGATGCATTTATATACAGTTGATAACAAAAGTTTTACAGCAAGATCGTATAATACACCGAGAGAAAAGTAACGAAAAAAGTCCTATTCTAAAACGGACACGTTTGACACAATCGATTATCGATCACAATCGATCACAATCGAAAATCTCGAAATCATGCAGCCACGATTCCTTATTGGTCCGCCTGAAGTGGCGCCAGATTACAAAGTCGTAACTCTGCTCGAGAAAATATATCATTACTTCAATATCGACGATGATAGCCGAATTGGTTAAATCGCTTGGCCGAACGAATTTTATAAATAGTTAAATGTTTACTTACTCTGGCCTAAGTCAGCGGCGCAAAGCAGGACGAACAGAACCACAACAAAGTTAATAAACTTCATGGTTTACTAGTATGACGAATCCTCTGTGGTCTCCTTATATACTCCGTGCCAACGTACACATAAATTATCGCAAACAGTGTTTAATCGACACAAATAATTTAATTTTTAGCTCGAACACGTGGCAGTATTGTGTGATCATTTATTTAAATATAAACCATTTATAACGCACATCATGGCGGTGTCACATGAAGAAGTGGTACATTAAATATTTGCAGTCTAAACACAAATGGTAGAATTGCCACTGTTTCATTTTTCTATTTTTATCGTCGTTTTACAGATATTCCACTTGAAAAAACATGTGAAAAATAGAATTCTTATTTTTTATAATATCCGGATGGAGTAGAATCCTCCACTTATGCCTAGAAGACGTGTCTTTGTTATAAATTATTCAATATATTTCTTCGCGTAAACCACGTGAAGACCAAACTACAATTTTGAGGTAAAAATAGCAAAATCTTCAAAAATTTTTATAAAAAAGTGGTGATTATTATGATATTATATCATTATGTTATTATTATTATTGACTTTGACTTTTGTAGTTTGTTAGACGGTCCTGATATATCAGGATGTGTAATCAGCTTTTCGGCCATTTTACACCCTTTATTGTTATTATTATATTATTATATTATTATACGAGACCTGGCTCCGCGCGCCATTTGATTCCGTGGTGTTGATGATGACGTAGCCAATTGACCAATGAGAAATAGGGTTACGAGTGAAAAGTCTTACGCATGAAGTTAGCCAATCTTACTCTCGCCCAACTTAATTTTGGTGTATCACCTTTTATAGATAGGATCATTCTTGAAGATTTCGGAGACTAATTAGTCAATTCAGGCTGCATTGGATATGAATCGTAAGAATTATCAGAGGCGCGTTGGTACTACAATCAGATCGGTTTCGTTTTACGGGTCTTACCCTTGAAAGTTATTACCGTTAAAAATTTTTTTCAACTCCTTCCCACTCCCCCCACCCCTGGGTGGAATTTGTCCAATAATTTGCAACAACCATCAATTTCCGCAATAATTCATAAATATTGACAATTTTTTTATTTTTTTGCATTTTCAAAATTTTGCCGCCCCTCGGCTCCCACGCAAAATTTGGGCAATAATTTGGAACCTCTTCCGGGTTCCTCAATACTTTCACGAATTATCATGATTTTTTCCAATTTTTAAAATTTTTTGAAATTTCAAAATTTTGGTACGACTTTGTGGTGACGAATCGGTTTTGTCTTACGGGTTTTAGCCTCACGCCCATTCGAGATATTTCGAGATCGATTTCCGTTCTCCATTTTCCATTACGAAATTTGAAATCGACATTTCCATTTTTATATTTCCTGGGGACCAGACATTGATTTTGAAGTAAAAATAGAAGAATCGATACACCTCAAAATTCTATCAACGGGCATTTATATTTCAATTTCAATTTTATATTTATATTTCAATTGATTTATGAATTTGTTTAACAATTGAAAGTAAATTTTAATAACGGGGATTTTTCGCTGAATTAAAGTGCATTTGTTTTAAATTATCCAATGAATCTTGCTATTTAATATTTACTAACTTACATACACAGATGTAGTAAAATTCTCCATAATATCCACAGATACACGAGATACGAGAAAAAACATCCAGAAGCATTAACATCTATTTGGCAATAAAAATTTGATCACAAAATTGTGAACCTGTGACTCTTCTGTTAAGTTTCAATCTTTAATAGATGAATTGTTATTTCAATATTCATAGGGACTTTCCATTAAAAATATAATTAAACATATCTAATTCCATATATTTTCTAGAAAAAACTTTTTCCTTCTCGTATACCCTTTCCAGTCTTTACGATTTGTTCCCTTTCCACCCATCCATAAATTTCTTAAATTTATATGGAATAATTCAGGAGTGGGTAGAAGTTTCATATTTTTTAAACTTGATAAAATTTCTCTTGCTAAATGGATTTTTAATGCTTTAACGCTTCTGAATTTTTTTATTTCAAGGATTCAACCACAACAATATCACATGAACAGGAAGTCCAATAAATATTTACTATCTAAATACAATGATATAACTAAGAATACAATCCTTTTATTTACAAAGATATGATACATATGAAAAAACATTGTAGGAAACTATAATTTTTTCATTCTTTTATTTTTCATTATAATCAGATACATTACAATTCTCTGTTCACCAATTCACGGACCAAATCTCTCAGATATGTATCACATGGCCGGTGACGTCATTTCTAGAAGAAGTACATTTGTTTTTAATTATTCAATGAATCGGCACGGAGAAAAGTGAATGGTAGAGATTATTATATTATAAAACTTTTTGCCACCAGAAAATTGCAAATAATTTTTCAGCTTTACCTTCACGGCGATTTTTATCATGTACCCTGGTAGAAATGACATTGCTGCTGTATTGCACTAATACTGTGCGACTATAATAATGATTACTATTCGCTACAGCAATCATGACGAATTATTATGGGACACTTTACCATTGTGAATATCGGAAATGCTACTATCCACAGATGGGACCGTTTATCGTACTCAATTGCATTTAGTAAAGATTGTTTTATTAGAACCAAGAAATGGGGTAATTCTTATTGCCCGAGAATAACAAAAATGATACGGCTGAGCAGACGTTCAAATCCAACGAAGAAGAAATATATTCACAAAACTTTGGATTTGAAGTTTAAGTTAAAAATTAAATATTTCTTCTCTTTAAAATGTAGTTTACATCAAAATTTTCTCGGTTTAATAAATTATTAAATCCATTAGATATCAATCTCAATAAGATTATCTGTTTTATTACACTGAAGTTAATACCACACAGCAATCTAGAAATAATAATTTTTACTCTCCCTCTGGTTGCATTATTCTTGTTATTATTTTTTATTGTTTACTATATCCATTGAGTCCGTTACACTCATTACTCTACCCTATGGTAACCGTTACTACGCCATATGGAAATCATTACTATATCGTAGTAACACTTCCCAAATTATAATCATTCTTAAATCGGAATTAAAACTGCGGAAAATTGTCCTAGTTGGCGCTGTCAGCATAAACTTGGCGTTTTTTAATATTTCTATGGTTTTTTAAAAATAAGATTGTATCATAATCAGTTCGCCTACTGTGTGATTTGAACTATTCAGTAATTGTCCCATGTGTCTGTCTTGGAGGCGATTAGATTTACGTCGACTTTGCGCCATTTTTTCACTAAATTTTTTTGTGATTTTTCAAATTTATCGTAGTAACACTTTCCAAATTATAATGATTCTTACTAGATGTAGATATACGTCTCTCTATCATGACACTTTTCTCCGTGTAGCATCTTAATTTTCAATAACTTACATGCACGAACAGGAGCCGATCCTATCTTTGTGAACGCTATAACCGTATCCTCTGCACCTGTCGGCACAAGATGCAGCCGGTCTCTTGTTGCCACCGCCTGCGGAAAAAAATTCCAAAAACGCATTCATATATATGACA